TAGCTAAATATATTACAATTCCTGTATTGATTTACCTGCTGAACTACAGTCAAACCAGCACCAGTAACTCTCATCACTTTTACTGATATCATTTGAATCACACTTTGAGCAATTTGCCACCTTATACTCTTCATTCACAATACAATAGCAATGCTTTTTTCCATTGGGACAAGGAAATGCACTCACATAATTTTGTTTAGCACTAATAGCATCAGAGCTTGTATTAATAGTTGTGGTAATCAGCTTTCGAACTTGTGAACAGTTAGGACCATCGAAATAGACTGCAATATGTTCATAGCGATTAATAATGTAAAGTGTGTAATGTATTCCTTCAATATAGATCCAGAGTGAAAAGGCATCACGAAATTTGGGTTGCGGAGAAAATTCAAATTCATATTTTTCCTGTTCAAGCAAATGTAGCAAATGGACATAAATTAAAGGGAAAATTCCTTGAGGAACAAGAACAGAATTTTTGGATTTCAATTTTTCTTCCCGCCACACATAATAAAGAGGCTTTGTAGTTACTTTGATATCATAGCTATTATTGTAGGGAGGTAAAGCAGAAGGAAGGAAATAGCTATTATCTCCATCCTGGGCTTGGCTATTGAAATCAGTTAAATCACTGATAATATGAAGATGTTGAAGCAGGTTAATGAAATAATCTGGTGTAAAATCATCTGAAAATACATCTATAAACTTTTCAAGAAGAATTTTTGTGAAGCACCCTTCGTTTTTAAGACACATCATCTCATCATTAGATACATTTGTTGCCAGTGATTGTGCTGTTGGATAATCGACATAAGTAAGAGCTAACAAATGGGAAAGAACATTGATGATTTTTTGAGGGTTAACAAATACTAGTTGTGGTTGGATTTTAGGGTAGTATAAAATGATTGTGCTATTGTGAAGAATAGTTAAAGCTAATTCGACTTCATCATCATTCATGTAAAGCTTATAACCTTCTTTAATGGCTTCATCTTTAGTAACAAAACCTTTGCCTTTTGCCTTCTTTTCTAAATAAAGCTCATAAGCAAAACATCGTATTGGGACATCAATTTCAATAGTAGCCTCTATACATTTCGATATTGTCTCTAAAATTTCTCTACTATTTTTCTGTCTTTTACTTGAATGCTTCTGCATTGTATTAACTGGATATATGACTGAATTCCCATGTACTTTGGAAATAATGCGACTTTCCAAATGAGGCAGTTCTGACATCAAATTACTACTCATCTCTGCCACTTTTGTCTCAGCATCTTTTTCATTAGCTCTTTCAATCAGTACATCATAATGAGTACCCAGGACAAAAGACAATGAGTGTTGAGGCTGATGTTTCACAAATTCAATATCAATTGGTTTTTGAACTGATGCTGATGAAACAACAGAATTGAAAATTTTACGATTTGAATATTTCATTCCCCCATCACATGGAAATTCTCGTGCATTAATTCGATACATAAACTCAAACTCCTCATCAATGCCTTTTGAAATATCAAGTGTGATGACGTTAAGAGTAGCTGCTGTGGTAAACAATGGTAGCAGCTCTTGGTATGCTGGTTGACCACCAGAATCAACAATGTACACCCACTTCTCACTTAACTGAGCTTCTGCATTAGGTAGGAGATCAGCAATTTCCTTGAGTACATCTTCAGGATCGTAATCTTCTAGTGGTACTTCTAAATCAATTTCCATGGCATCCTCTAATTCTTCTGAAAGTGACTGAGCTAATATTTGCTTTCTTCGCAAAGCATTTTCTGCAGCTTTTTTTAAACTAGATGCTAATTTCTTCAGCAGTTCATCTCTAGTAATTCTCTTCCATGTCTCTTTACCATCAAAAGCTATTCTTAGAGCTTTAACAGCTTTACAAGCTATTGGTGTACTGTCAGTGGTAGAGACTATAGAATGAGGAGTGAGGCCAGAGGATTGTACTGGAGTTGTAGTGGTTGAGGGGGCATTGGTATGTGGGTCAGATTGTAAAAGAGTAGGTGGCTTGGAAGAACTAACATATTCCGATGGTATGCCCGTTGGAGGGTCTTCATTTAGTAGAAGACATTGCGCACAAGTTTTCCCAGATCCAGCAGGACCAATCATGAGTACACGAGTAAGTGTCAGCTTCATGATACCTTCTTTACACCACTTCTCTAGAGTACCTACCATATAGCAGGAAATTTTGGTGGCCCAAAATTTTTGTGGATTCATCTAAATATCAATTTCGTGGCTTTAATTTTCATGGTTTTCTACTTTTTGGCCATCTTAACCCATATTAAATTCATTTTCGTGGATTTTATTTTTGTGAATTTTGAAAAAACATGAAATCCACAAAAATTTGGGCCACAAAAATTTTCCCACTATACAGTATTACAATTATTCAAGGAGAGCTTGTATGATCAAGCCAAGTGTTGTTTTAAGTCATGTATATGCATGCATGTTGCACCATATCTGTTCATCAAACCTGATTTTATTAGATCTTCGATATAAAATTTTTTAAACCCTAATTGTATTGAGATATAATGACTATATTAATCACTGATAATTTACACAAACACACTCACCTAACTGGTGTAATATAGAGGTAGCAATATCTGTTAGTGTACGATGCTGTTGGTTTATGAACACAAGACATATATCAATAAGATACTGCTCTGGATTAAGAGAGGTTTCCGACTGTCGTTGTATCACAGATACTAATTGACTTGATTTAACAGCATCAGAAGAAGCTGTTGTTTGAATATTATTAACAGTTTCCATTGGTATCAGTCCTTTAGCATACAGTCCATTGGTTACTCTGTGAAGATTATTAGTAATAGCATCAACAAGAGTAGCATAATTCATCCTTAATATAGTACTAGGAGTGTTACCTGCAGTAGTGTATCAGTTAATGAGTGTTGTATTAAGTGTATGTTTACCTGTTTTAGGACCAGGATTGAGTTCAACATCTCCTGATAAGAGGAGGAGCATACGTAGACAAACAATCAAATAGAGATCATTGTAAATCAGGGTAGAACTGCTGCCTCCAGGTAAGACTACTGACTGGAGGTAATTTGTATCAGTAACAGTAACACCAGTAGTACATTGTATTTGGTAGCAGTTACCTAATAATAAAATACCAGTAAATATACAAGTACAAAGTTGCAATTGTTGTTTACCTGTTGGAGGAATCATCAAGATGTGTCTTAATAAAGAAAGAAAGTGAAAGAGGAGGAGGAGTAAAACAATAAGAGACAGAACTGCTGGCAGTTTAGATGTCTTCTCTCCTGATGTAGTACTGCCTGACTTGCTGTCTACTGCAGCTTTGAATGAGTGAGAGTGGCGGCCATTAGCTGGTCTACTGGAGGCAGCTTGGCAGTAGTTCCACAGTCCAATACTTGCTCTCCATTGAGAGACATCAATCATCTTGTAATTATTGTTGAAGTTACTTTACAAGACAAGTAGTTCTTCTAATTGTATGTAACGCTCATCATCACATGACATTGACTGTTTATACTGTTATTATTAGCATTTAAGTTATTATGCCCAAATATGGTCAACTATATGTGTACCAGTATAAAGGATATGCGTGTGGTAATAGCTAAAGGGTCAGTACAGGAAGTAGATCTTAATGTATGACCAGAGGCTGGGGTTATTCTTATCACTTATGTCGTAGTATAACGCACACACATACATGTACACGCATCCATCTTTGCTTTTTAAGATTTAAGATATTCCAGAAACCAATACATGAATATAGTCATGTGTTAATAATGTATATACCTTCTGTATTATATATACTGTTGATTGTATTTTCTGTAGTATATTATTTATAACAGATCATATATTATTGTTCAAAAGGTCACCTATTACTGGTCAGATGAAGCACTATATCATACTGCTAGTAGTGTACATTGTGTAGTAAGGGGAGGGCATAGTTTGTATATCATATACCATATCACTCTTCACTATAAAACCTGTATTTGTTCTTTAGTGCATGTATCTTCCTCTTTGATGTAATTTTGCTACATCTCCAGCGCTTTTGATATATGTGTGATCTATGTAGCTGTAGAGATAGATCTGTGTATATGCATGCAGTATTGTGAACTAAGTACTTGACTTAATGAGCTCTGACAGTAACATAGCTATAGTGATAGAAAGGGGAGGAAATGTGTTATACTTGTTTACCATTATATGTACACAGTTCCCAGTAAAGAGGGAGTGGATAGTTTGTATAATGTCATCATATACCATCATGTACACTATTGCTCCACCTCTCTATATCCAACTATATGACCATGCACTCT